TTTATCCCTTTTTATTATTATAGAACGACAGCCCTTTTTCGCTGAAAATCAAATAAAACCTACTAAATACATTTCATGCTTATATGTAACGCATATTTCAGAGAAAGCCAATTTAAAAAGGAATTGTATCATATATTAAGTTTAATTTTTAATAAAGAAAGGGGATATCATTAATAAGTTAATTTGATGTTTTTGTGGCATGTACTATATTAGATGAGATCGGAAGAGCATTTTAGATTAGAGGTTACTGAACCACAAGTAAGGTGGAATCAAAAAGTCGAACGGAACTGTTCTTCAGACTGAATGGCGATGCCAATCATAAAATTTTACGGAGTTCGTGCTGCCAGACTTTCTAGGCAAAAATAGCTCTTTGGAATTAATGTCTTTGTTAGAAATATTGGCATTTACCTGTGACAATATTTTTTAGTGATATTTAAGGATATAGAATGGTTGATGCATCATGAAAAAATCGTGAAGCATATAGTTTCAACTCGGAAGAAATGTTCGAAAATGGCTAAAAAACAATCAACATTGTTGATTGTAAAACATTCTTGGTTCATTTTTGCTTGAACGATTGCATGTCGCATGTTTTAAGTTTTATTGCCCAATCAAGACCGTTACGTAATATCTATGCCAGTGTTTTATTGGCTCATTTTGTTAACCGAAACTATTACAAGATGACAGTATGTTATTAGAAAATGTACATCATATAGTCATTATTTCGTGAATTGCAAGTGGAAAAACTCAAACAATTTAACAAAATATGCAGCCCTAACTAGTGCTCCTACGACTAGTCGGATAGCCGTAAACGGTTAGAACTGGACGGTTAAACGGTACGGTTATTCGGAGATGTCCCCCATTACATAGAGTTGTGTCTGACTATATTCCTCTTTATAATTTACTTGCCCGTTGTCATTTTGTATTTGATGTTTGAAAATCTTAGAATGTAACAGTCGTCCTACGATGTCGACTGCTAAAAAATAATACTATTAATAGCACTCGTCGTAGTCATATGGACCTTGTTCTGACTTTAGCTATTGTTAATCCAATCTAAATACTTCTCTGCATTTCTAACTATATTCTACCTTGTTTATTATTTACTTAATATGATCATAAAGGCTAGATATTGTTACGACATTCAACACGTTTCATATCTCGTAATTTCTCGCAAGAATTCTACTTTGGTTTTTAGTTAAATTAACCAATCATAAAAATTCTACTTGCAAGCGAGGAATTAATTCTTTATTGTCCAATCAATAGACACCTTCCAATTTACTTTATTCTATTCTTAGTAACATTGTGTAATCGTAATATTGTCGCCATCTGTCACGTACGAAGGGAAACAGAGTATTGTTTTGTATATTATCGTAGATATATTTAATTAAAAAATGTTTCAAATGAACCAAGTTAACCAGGTAAATAAATAACTACGGCCTTAGATAGTTTAAATTTTCATTAAAGAATTGTACATGTCAGAAAAAATTACTGAAATTTTTGCGCGTGTAATGCCTTTTAGGCGAGTATAGTGTGCGCACGAGTAATGACTCGCACCTCCTGACAAGCTCTGTTTTATGTTTAAAATTGATACCATTACGATTAATAGCTACGGCTATTCGAATAACAAAAAGTCCTAACCGAAGGAGCACTAGCCCTAACCCCTCAATGCATTTCCAGTGGCGCCCCCCCCCCCCCCAATAATTTTAGAAAATAAAAAAAAAGTATATGTGATACGTTTCGGTAATCAATACCTTCTACAGTGATTAAATCCCACTTCCCCACTCAGTCATAGACTTGCATGTTGTAGAGCCTGAGTGATTTCTTACCAAGCCCATCCTGTTGTAAACCTACTCTAAACAATAACACGTGAATCACTTGCAAAGTGCTTTTTATACGCCCACATTGAAATGTGGTCATGTATTGTCGTCGCCCCCATCCGTCCGCCCACCGTACACAATTGCTTGTGGACGCTCTAGAGGCTAAAGTTAATATCCGATTGACTTTAAATTTATACACAGTGTTTAAGGTCATGAGACAAAGAATCCTATTGATTTTCAGCGATTTCCAATAATTACTGCCAGAGTTATGGCCTTTGATCACTTCAAAAAATCTTGTGGACGCTCTAGAGGCTAAAGTTAATATCCGATTGACTTTAAATTCATACACGTGTTTAAGGTCATGAGACGAAGATTGATACACAGAGTTAAAGATCTTGAGACGAACAAGTATATTGATTTTCAATGAATTTTTATGACTTAAACATTAGCATGGGGCAGAACTTTATAAAAACCGAACAAATTCTAATGGTTTTCTGATAATTACTTCATGAGTTGTTACTCTTAATCAGATTTTAGTGTATTATAAATGTTTCATTACCGAAAAAATATGCGACAACACGATTTAGCTGCTGCGGGCGTATGTTTCGTTGCCTGGCAACCTATCTTTGTTTAGCTTGTTCTCTATCCATCTCTTGCAAAATGTGGGCATATCCTGCCTGGCAGCCGCTGGTTTTCCGATTTTAAAAACCGTTTAAATATATCACCATTCCACCATAATGAAGGTTGAATTCGAATTTTTGGAAAATTGAAATGAAACTGCCCAACAAAATGGCCATTCTTACACCAATCTTGGTTCCTTTCCATATTCTCGCATATCGGATCGTAACTTTCTGAATTATGGACCCTGATTGTACGAAAATTCGCATTTTTAGCTTGTGGTCCCTATAGAGGTCACAATTTTTATCGGATTTAAAAAAAAAATGTGTTACATACTAAGATCTTGGTTCCTTTTGATAATCGCACATATCCGAACGTAACTTCCTGGATTATGGCCCCTGATTGTTCAAAAAATTGCATTTTTAGCTTGTGGATTCCCTAGAGGTCACAATTTTTTTCCTATTTTAAAAAACATTTAAATACAATGTATATCACTATTCCAAAATAATCAATGTTGATTTAGAATTTTGGGAAAATCGAAATGAAACTGCCCAACAAAATGGCCGCTCTTTGTACGCAAATATTTTAAAAGTATGTATTACGAAGGTTGTGGACCGTCTAGAGGTCACAATTTTTATCCCATTTTGATGAAACTTAAAACCAGGGATCTTAATCGGCTGTTTTTTTGTCGGCTTTAGCCGATTGATCTTTAATCTAGCCAATTGGTAAAACAATGAACCGGCCACTAAGGTATCACAAATCAATCTACTTTCGGCCGATTTACAAAGAATTAATTATCAGGCCGATTGGTAAAACAATGAACCGGCCACTATCATAAATCAATCTACTTTCGGCCGATTACAAAGAGTTAATTATTACTCGTCGATTAAGAAACCCATCAAAGAGTCAATCATTACAATGAATACCTTCGGCTTATTTCATAAATAAACAACTTAATTGAGGTAATCATGCCAAGTACTTGAACACCTCGCAGAATGACACCAGGAAACGTAAATGAGATTTAACTGAAGATAGAGATGGCGGCGTTGACCTTGAACTTCAAGCATGCACGTCGTCAATGGAAATTCCAAAAGCCGGAGATCCTCCTACGTCCAATATAGGTCAACCAAATTATCGGCAATAAAATACCATATTAATCTGACGATCATACCTACGTAGCAAAGAAAGACGATGGCAGAACAAAGAGTTTAATTCCTAAATCTATAGAAATTATTTCAAACCGGGCGTTAATCCGAAATGCGTATTTCATAGCAAAAAGAAACATTGCCATCGAAAATTATGATTATGAACAATAATTGAACGATTTGACAGAACGGGACATGAAATGACAAAAAAATTATATCGTGATTTTAATTATTGTGGTGAATTTATTTCTTTAATATTCAGTGAAATTGAGGAAGAGATCCTCTCAGATATCCGAACGAGTCCTGCTGCGTATACTGGTAACACTAAAAATAAACTAACCTGAATCACGACAATTGGCCACGTGACCTTTCGTATGTACAGCATATTTCCGAGTTCCGAGTACACGGAAACTGATTTTTGCTACTTTGTTATTTATATACTTTTTTATTTTTATATATATTAACATGTGCTTATGAATAATATAATTTAAAAAAAAACATTTGTATGTACTTGTAGTTTTTACTAATTTATAACTTCCGTTTAGTTGGATGAAAGCAAAAGTAGGAATATGCAATGCAAGTTGCTGAAATAATAATGACTATAAATGTCGATATTATAGCGATGTATGGATACAAGTATGCAATTATAAGGGTCCTGTTTATTCGGAGTTTCAGCTATTATTATCCCGAATACGTTCTGCAATTAGTGAATTATGCAATTACTGTCGTGAATAGAGTATGAATAAACCAACAACATGTTTGTTGTTGAAAAGACGACTATCCGTTAGGCCTACCCGTGGCCGGTTCATTTCAAAATGGATTAAGAACCCTGCTTAAAACATGTCTTTATATCACAAAGATCTCAGTCCCATTTGATATTTGAGCATTTCAGACCATAACTTTCCGGATTATGGCCCCTGATTGTACAAAAAATCGCTTTTGTTTTTAGCTTGTTCTCTATCCATCTCTTGTAAAATGTGGGTGTATCTTTTATGGCAGCCGCTGGTTGGACTTGCATTTAACATTGTTCATGCCAAATTTGATGAAAATCCATGCAGGCATAACTGAGAAAATCTGACTTTATTATCATGCTTTTAGGCTAAGTTTGGAACATAGTTGGTACATAAAATTGGTATTTCTTTGGTGATTAATATGTAGTTTATTACCCCAAATAACAAAAAATGTCATATCTTATGAACAAAAATTACAGTGCTAGCTTTAAAATGTGCATTTAGACTGTCCAACGCCCTTAATCTCAATTCATTAAAAAACATCAACTAGTGATTACATGTATTTTGAATAAACATATACATGTATATGTACATGTTCCAGGTAGTTACTTAATTTGAACTTTAGTGTTTACCATGATTGATGATTACAATTTGTACATGATTTTATCTTTGTATAAATGTAATTTTTACAGAGGCTATGAAGATGTTGGCTAGTAGATTAGAAGGACCATTTAATATAGAATCAGTTGTTGATCCTATTGATGTTAAGATATCAGATGCTATCATGAACCTACAGGAGAATAGTTCAAAAGTTTCAGCAAAAGTAAGTTTTTCAAAAATATATTATTGACAGAACAGTTTGATTATGTTAACAGAAACATCAAATTTTATTGTATATTGCTGTCGCCCTGTCTGTCTGTCGATAAGTCGATACATTTTTCAGCAAAGTCTGGCATTTGTCTTATACTCCGTTTCGATTTATATACGGAAGATAAAAAATCACATCCCGAACTTTATTTGACGGTAAACTGTAGTAAACGTCACTCTAATACAACTAGTGAGTGACACCAACTGCTAAAAAATCCTATTCGACTCTAAGCACGCGCTATCGTCTAAAACAATTAGCGTATACGTAACTACTTACGTTATTCCAATCGAATATTCCAATCGAAATATTCGTCAACATTTCTTAGCGTGTTTATTTATTTAAAAACATAAACCCCATTCAAAATATGATCATAAATCTGACAATATGCCATCAATATAGAATCTTTTCTCCGGGCATCAGCAGGGCTGCCGACAACCAGTATCGCAGCGCAATTTGCGATACATATTTTGTCTGTTGCTAATCAAAAATTAAAATCTAACGTTTTTGATTCGCAGTAACTGCGAATCATTAATATGCCTGTCATTTTGGATATTGACACAAGGATAATCCACTTTCAACTTTTTTAATACCGAATAAAATTTTATAAACAAAACTGAATTCTCCGTGTGACATTTTCTTCTCGAACTACCCAGACACAATTCATTATACTACATGTATATAATAAAAGAACATAACTCTATGAATAGCGACTATTAAACCGGAAATAGGGAATCAAGTAGTACCACTCACGTTGCGGGACATGTCAATTTCAAGTAATTATATCAGAAAACATTTTGAAAGAAATAAATCCAGTGTATGCCCGCGTATTGTAAATAAAATTTATAAAAATAAATACATCTTAACGTATTGTAACATGATAAATCAAAGTAAGAATTCCCGTAAAATATTATTGTTCATATCGCGTGTGTCTAGACTAGTTAATAATAATAAAGGTGCGCGCGATTGAACCAAAATAGTAATACACGATAAAAAGCTGACGAAATTGTTTTCTAAAGAAGATTTCTAACGTAACAAAGAAATAACAATTAAAATGAGTAGGGCTTCGGAAGTCACTGCCAAGATTTGGCTTCAGACATTCACATTCACAAATTGTCACAACTACATGTGGCAGTGCTAAAAAAAATCTAAGAATGAAATCTAATCATCATATTTGTTATGAATTAAAGTAATTTCTTGTTATTTAGGTGTTTTATGTTGAAACTGAAAAACTGCTAATCAATTTTTAAATTTGCTAATCAAATTTGGCGAAATTGGACTTTTTGATTAGCAGTGCTGCTAATCAACTGTGAAAAATTACCGACAGCCCTGGGCATCAGACGTATTAGATCCGGCAATGTTTACACCTCTTAATTCCACGTGTCTCGCGAGATTTCTACTTTCATTTTGCTTGTGTGTGAAATAGCTTTATTTAAAGGGGCTAAATCGCTAATATTTGGGACCTAGAAATTGATACATACGGGTCGCAACGCATATAATTATGTAATATGAATGTATATAAACTGGTTTACATTCAATCTTTTCTGTTTTCACTGTAATTTCTAATCATTTATGTTCGGCAAAATATGCCAGAAGTCTCAATTGAATGGCAATCTCTAGCGCCTGGTTATTCCAGTCTACACCGATAGTATTTATTGCACATGCTCTCCAGATAAGAATATGGCGTCACCGTTTGACTTGACTTGTGGAATATGCGTAGCCTCGTTTTCAAGTCCCTTTTTATACGCCCACATTTTCATGTGGACGTATATTGTCGTCGCCCCTGTCCGGATGTCCGTCCACAATTGTTTGTGGACACTCTACAGGTCACAATTCTTATCCGATTTTGACGAAACTTAACATAAAGGTTTATCTCCAAAGGATCTCGGCTGCTTTCGATATTGGCATGTATCGGATCGAAACTTCATGGATTATGGCCCCTGTTTGTACGAAAAATCAAGTTTTTAGCTTGTGGACACTATAGAGGTCACAATTTTTATCCGATTTTGTTGAAACTTGAAATGTAAGTTTATAACCCAAAGATCTTGGTTCCTTTCGATATTTGCACATATCGGACTGCAACTTCCTGAATTATGGCCCCTGATTGTACGAAAAATCGCGTTGTTAGCTTGTGGACCCTATAGAGGTCATAATTTTTATCCGATTTAAAAAAACGTATTATTATATCACCGTTACACCATAAGGATGGCTGAGTTTGAATTTCGTGAAAATCGGCCCAAAACTGACAGACAAAATGGCCGCCCTTCATTCTCAAATAGCATAATAATATGGTATATCAAGGTTGTGGATCCTATGGCGGTCACAATTTTTATCCGATTTTGTTGAAACTTGAAATGTAAGTTTATAACACAAAGATCTCGATTCCTTTCGATATTTGCGCATATCGAATTGTAATTTCCTGAATTATGGCCCTTGATTGTAGGAAAAATCACTTTCTTTTTAGCTTGTTCTCTATCCATCTCTCGAAAATGTGGGCGTATCCTGCCTGGCAGCCGCTGTTTACAAATGATGCTGAAACGCACGCATTATGGTACACGATTCGTGTACCAATGGTAAAATGTTTATTTTGTCTTAAATATTGGATTATCAGAAGCCCATCTCTTCCCAGTAAGATCACAACATCAATGTTGATTTAAATTGATAAATAATTTGTGTTTTCAATGTTGAAATTTTTGGATGATATTGAGTTAGAGACTTAGCTACTTTAACTTTGACTTCCACTAAAGAAATATCACAGACAAGTTATCGGACACAATGTATATTGATTTGGGGTGTTATATACTATTAGGATATGTGACATATATGACGAATGTCTACGTCCGACACCAAGTAGATTAAAACGTAAGACAATGGAGAAATCACGGGTTAATCACGTAGATTAAGTTTATTGGATTGGTATATAGTCTGACAAAGGAGAAGCAATGACTTCTTTTCAGGATTGAATTGATGAATTGTCCGACATTGAATTAAGTCAGCCAATCATAGCTGATTAAGTAGTTAATCAAGGTAGGTGTATAGACGGTATAAAAAGATAAATACTTAATTACCTAATCAATCCAGCCTATTATCAACGATAATCGGGTTGAGTGGTAGTTATACACTCAGTACACTATATTAATTTTGGAATTTTGAATATTATTTTACCATGTCTTGATGTCTGATTCGGCATATTCCTGGTCGAACAATTTAGGACGTTTGGAAAATAGCGTCGGACATGTCCGGAATATACGGGCAAAATCTCATCACTGGTATGGATTGATCTGCATGATATTTATGTGCATTGTGCTAATTAATGTTCTTTATATTATTTATTGAAAGATTTCCAAACCAAAAAACATTTATGGACTGTACCGATGACATAGTTGCTATAGGTGCATCAAGTAAAATTAAATATTTACATGTATCTTAACATTGGCTTAACCCATTCCCACACAATGTTAAATGCTTAAAAGCCCATCTGGTTTAATCAATCAAAATTTGCTGTTATCTAATTTATTTGCAGATATTTGCTGGCTGTGGAACGCCAAGATTGGGTCGAAAGAAACGTGAAACCCAAGAATATAATTTTGATTTTGAAAAGACGAAAAAACAGCCCAAACCTACCACTGCTGCCGGTACAAATTTAGACAGATTGGTGAAAGATATTCGTGAAAAAGTGAAAACCGCTAAAGATTTTTGGATATTGTTACCCTACACGTTATGTAATAATGAAGATATGGCTGCTAGTCCTGGTAATGAAGAAGATTGTTGGAATGGACAAGATAGAGCTAGGTAGAAAATCTACAATCTTATTTAAATAGGGATTATGCAAGAGCTAAATCTGCCTATTGCAGATCTTCCTTAGGCCTTAAATGTTATATGAATTATTAATTCAACATTAATTAACTCACCAAGACCATACTCAACTCTTGATGCCATCAGATGGCTCTGATATTTAGTAGATTTGAATACGTTTTGCGGTTAATGATAATGGATAATTGAGACTTTGTTTATTGTCGTAACAATGGTAGTAATGACTATTGAGGCTACAATGTTGTATCGCTGATAACTAGGCTCAGAGTGAAGTAATATCACTGAAATTGGGATCACACTGCCTTTTCATCATACATTTTTTATACACTCACATTTTCATGTGGACGTATATTGTTGTCGTCCATGTGTCCGTCCGCCTGTCCGTTCAGATTTCATTTGTGGACACTCTACAGGTCACAATTTATATCCGATTTTAACGAAACTTGAAATATAAGTGTATCTCCCAATGATCTTGGATGCTTTCGAAATTGGTGTGTATCGGACCGTCAATTCATGGATTATGGCCCCTGATTGTACGAAAAATCACTTTTTTAGGTTGTGGTGTCTCTAAAGTTCATAATTTTTATCCAATTTTGATAAAACTTGAAATGTATGTTTATAACCCAAAGATCTTGGTTCCTTTCGATATTTTCGCATATTGGACCTTAACTTAATGGATTATGGCCTCTGTACAAAAAATCGCGTTTTTAGCTTGTGGTCCCTCTAGAGGTCACAATTTTTATATGAATTTTGTCCCCTGCCTTTCAAAGAAAGCAGGAGACTATTAAAATGGGTCCGTCCGTATGTCAGTCTGTCCATCACACTTTTTGGGACACTATAACTCTCCTTCTAATTGAGCTAGAATGTTTAATATACCCTTTTAATATACTGGTAAACACATGCGTAAGAGAGAGAGAGAGACAAACAAACTATAAACAAACAATGAAAACCAATATAAAAATGTAAACAAATTATTAATGATCAATGCCTTGATGGAGTTCGAAGATGAGCATTTCCTGCTTAGGGTAAGCAGAGATAAGCAACTTGATTGGTTAATGCTTTGGGACACGATAATTTTTAGTTCTAATTAAGTGAGAGTGATGAAATTTGATGTATAGTTTCATTACATCAGATTGATACACAGAGTTTAAGATTATGATACGAACAAGTATATTGATTTTCAAGGAATTTTTATGACTTGAACAGTTAAATCCATGATATTAAAAGCTTTGCATACAAAACGTTAGCATGGGGCAGAACTTTATAAAAACCAAACAAATTCTAATAGTTTTCTGATAATTACTTCGTGAGTTGTTGCTCTTAATCAGATTTTAGTGTATTATAAATGTTTCATTACCGAAAAAAGTAAAAATATGCGACAACCCTTGTTGACTGCTCGGACGATTTAGTTGCTTGGGCGTATGTTTCGTTGCCTGGCAACCTATCTTTCTTTTCTTTATTATATATTCTCTATTTACAGTGCTCAGCTCTCTCTCGAGCTCTCTCTCTCTTTCCAACTCTCTCTCTCGAGCCGCCGCGCCGATCCCACGAGTCCGCCTACTGGCAAGGTGTTACTGCCACAGACGCATCATGACTTCTGTTCATTTCCCGACCAAACGTACTTTTATATGCTAGTGAGTCACGTGACAGCTTAACCACGCCTACTACCTGTCAGTCATATGCACGCGGTCAGCGGTGCCTTGTCTGTTATGATTTCCGAAGCATGTTATAAATGACAAGTCAAATAAATAGTACATATTAGATAATAATTATGAAATGGAACAATAATTAACTTAGTTACATATGAAATTAAAATATTACAATAGAATAATCTATAAATCTTGCTACGAGCAGTGGAACTGGCTTCCATTGTATTCGACCTGATGTAAGGTAACTAACTATTTCAAAAAGTGGACATGGATCATAACGGTTCATATGTTTGTCATAGTTTACATAGGCCTATATAATAATTATAAGTAGACTACTTGCACATGGAACACACATTGGCTATTTGGTGTAAGTGGGCAGACTACAGTTAAAAATACCTAATTTCTTCATTACTAAATTAGGGCAAACAATCTAAATTATCCTACAACTTAGGTTATTTTTTTTTTTTTTTTTTAGAACAGACTTTGGTTTGCCAAGGGACCTCTCAGCTTAATTGTTTTGGTTTTCAACCATTATTGCAACAAACTAATATAATAGTCAAGCAATTATACATGTATGAGTGTCTTCATAAAGACAATGGTAGTTCGGTGTAGATTCCCAGTAACAATACTTAACAAAACATTATGTACATGTGTTCTTAAAACTTAGATAGTTCTATAATATTATGATTAATTAAGTCTTAGCCTTAATGAAACCATAAGTTCATTTATAGGATCATAATGAGGAAGTATTTCTTATACACAATATCAATTAATAAGGAATATTCTTAAGCCTGGATACATACAAATTTGTAATCACCGAATGTTGAGATATTTTTTTCTTTTAAGTGTGTATCATGTGGGACTCAATAACAAACATGCCTGTTTGTAACAGTCTTAAAAATTAACTAGACAACCTTTAGTTTACTTTACAAACTTTAAATTAACTACATATTCTAAATATAACCATAGACTCATTCCATATACTATTTCGAGTTAATTTACTTCACAACCTTAAATTAACTACATATTCTAAATGTAACCATAGGCTCTGTGATATACATAGGATCATATATAATCGTTTGTAAACAAGATGAAGTTGGTGAAAATTCCGCATAATACAACCTTGTGATAGATTTTATCTATTGAGTGTCAATCATAAGGTTGTAGCAGGGAGTGGAATGCTGACAGTTTAGTGAGCAAAGATAAGTAGGCCTACATGAGATACACAAGCCATTTTGTAATTAATTGAATTATAAATTACAACTTTGTTCCACATTCGGATCACTATCATTTTTTCAAATAATTTTTGTCGAAGTTGGAGCTCTACAACTTATGGCTAATTGGCTTAATTAAAGAAAATAATTGTCCAAAATTGATTTAGTATTAAAAGATGCATGTCCAGGTTGCATTAAGCTATTTGTAAATAAGTTTCAAATCCATTTAAATAAACAAAAGCAATAATGCTGGGATTTAATGTCTTATGAAAAGAGGGGCATGTTGGCTGTTAGTTTGACATCATGATGCAGGCTAAATATAAAAAGTAGGCCTACTTTTCATATCTATGCAAAAGTAGGTATTGCCAATAAATATTGTAGATGTGCAAACAGTGCTTGGATATTTCAAAGTATCATTTTGTAAGCCAACTTAAATTGACTTTAAATAAGTATGCGCATAAGTAACTGGTTATAACATAGAGAACATATTTGAATATAAAACTACGCAGTAAGATTTAAACTTGTTTCACATTTGTTTCTTCATCATTTGCACTAATGACGTATTTTAGGCTCAGTGATCCCAGCAGAAGGTCCATTTCATGTTGCTTTGTTACAAGGGTTGTGTTCCCATCTATTTTTTCACAAAGGTTATTCCATCTGCAACCCAGGTTCCTTGAATTTTCCCCTCCTTGAAGAGTCGTCTTGCGATCGATCGCAGCCAATTTTGACCTTTTCTGGGTTAGATCATCATTAATGTACACAGGGTTTCGTCGCATTTCTGAAGGCACAGATTCCAAGTCATAAGCATCATTATGATTTGTGATATCGTTGTTGTCAGGGCTCTTGTCAGACCTTCGACTAGTGATAAGTTTGACGTTAGTAGCTATCTGTTTGAGTCTATCTCTACCTTCAACAAATGACTTTTTAGTATAATACCCGCGAAAGCGGACAATAATTGGGCGTGGTTCATCTTTGTAGTTAGAGGGGTGCCCCACGCGGTGGCTACGGTTAATATCACTGGTTTGAATATCTACACCAACGAGCTTCCCAACTTTGACAACAAGTTCATTTGTCGATTTACCATCACGTTCATCGATGCCTGATATGCGAAAATCTTCACGCCTGCTATACTGTTCAAGCTTGTCTACTTTATCTTTGAGAATGTCTATCTCCCTCATGCCCAAATGTTGTACAGTCGCTTTAATTTCTTCGTGTATTTGAGGCATAAGCACAGTGGCAAGTGCATTGCTAATAGCACTGAGAACTGCCTTGTTTTTTAGAGCCATTATCAAGCGGTCTATTGGTACCTGCATACTTTGTTTATTAGTCGATTCGACGTCTGGGATCACTGGATCCAGCAGGATATTATCGTTATCTAAATCCATATCCATATAAGTATTCAGGATAAGTGACTTATACGGAATCGGATCTCACAGGTCGATACTTGTATCACGGTTATGCCGCTTCGTCTCCTGGTCGAACTTGCACTAGTGTCGGAGAATAATCGGCGTTTCAAGTTTGAAAGCGTGCTAGCCATAAATACTATAACTATTAATATTGGTATGGTTATTGTCAAATACTGGTTTTTAAAGGGTAATTATACATTTAGACAGGTCTGTCACTCGGTAAGGAAGGCAAACAGGGGACTGTTCTTTCACTGTTACTAAATTTCGCTCCACACACGAAAAGCCCGTGCAGCTTGAACCACATGGACAGTCAGTCAGCAACCCGAGTTTGGTTTAACTAAATTAACTATTACAATCCACATCAAACCCTATATATGAACAAAATATCATCGCTAAATGTTAATAAGGTACCATACCGAACTGTAAATCACAAATTTTGGACATAGCCCCAAATAACTTGAAGATTTATTCCGAAGCAGAACACAACACACTACCTTCCGCCAACTTGTCATTTGTAATAAAATTCACAGAAAGATATAATGTCTTTTAATTCCTGCTAAATTATTTTATTTACGTGACTAACAATGGTCCCAGAACTGCCAACATGAGATGGCCTCGATCATGAGATAACTGGTTGACACTGCTTCATGGTATTTTATCAACAACATTATATAAACAGTCTCAAAAGAACACAAAGATACAAATAAATGTAAGCAGTATGATTAAGATAGACAAAATAATAAAAGTATTTATATTATCATGGTGCTATGTGCCAATGGGGTCAAAGTTGAAGACAATTAGCATACGGGCTATTGCCATTGTCATTGGTACTAACTTCCTCCACAGCTAGAGAAATGATCACTGTGTAGTAAGTTCTTTGGACTGACATCATAATCTAACTTCTTTTGTATTTAAAAATCCAAGGGTATGCTTTCAATTATTTATGTCAGAACAAATCATCTCATAACCTGTCAAAGTAGGGAAAGATAAAGAAATGAAATGCCAAGAATGAATGAATTAACGAACTGTTAACTAATCACTAATAATTTAAACTTATTTAATATGATCAAGTCTTCTGATGCCCGGATATTGTGCAACAGATATTTTAATCTATAAAATATTTATTAAATGTGAATAAATCGCAGACACTGGTTACCATTGGGTTTTCAAAACTGACATTAGTTATTACTGAAATAGAAACAGTGTTAAACTAAAAAATTTAAATTTCATCTTAATAATTTACCTCATGTAGCATGTATGTTTCACAAACTCAGGTCATGAGAAACTGACAATTAATTAACCGCGGCCTAATCTCTCATTAAGTAAATAGAATGTAAGTATAATTGGTATATAAATATTGCAGGTATATACCAGATGTACAGAAAGACGGTGTTATAAATCAGATCAACAATCCAGAGGTAGAAGTTGATGTCACTAAAGCCAATAGTGTTGTCAGTCGACAAGTTATACAACTTAAACTAATCACAGGTCGACTACATAATGCTTATAACGGACAAGATGTGGATTGGATAGATACTGGTATGTTTTTATATGCTTCAGTTTTCATACATATTACACTTGACATACATGTAGCTTCTAAAATTAAGGGAATATGCAGAGTGAATTAAGGGAATATGCAGAGTGCTGATGTCATTTCTGTGCATCCAGAAGTTTCACTGTTGCCAAAACTCACTCATTTGAAAAAAAATTTCTGTCCGAAAAAATCTGATATTAAGTCTGTTAACGCCTCTGTTTAGTAACCAAGTTAAGACCAGTACCTGCAAATATAATTCTATAAAGTTCACAATTGTGAAACTTTCATTTTAGCAGCAGAGCAGGAATCGAAATAAGATACTAGATATTTGTGACTGAACTTGGGACTTTTGGATAATTGATGAATGATTTTTTATACGCCTACATTGAAATGTGGTCCTATACTGCTGTCCGCCCCCCATCTCTCGGTCGATCTGAAGTCCACAAGCAAATGTGGACGCTCTACAGACTGGAGTTAGTATCCAAGTGACTTTAAATTTATACAGTGTTTGTCATGAGACAAAAACCCTATTGATTTTCAACGATTTCCAATAATTACTGCCAGAGTTATTGCCTTTGATCACTTTGAAATATCTTGTGAACACTAAAGGTAATATCGGATTGACTTTAAATTTACACACAGTGTTTAAGGTCATGAGACAAAGAATCCTATTGATATTGGATAATTACTGCCAGAGTTATGGCCCTTGATCACTTTGAAAAGTCTTGTGGATACTGTAAAGGCTAAAGTTAATATCCGATTGACTATAAATTTATACACAGAGTTTAAGGTTATGAGACGAAGAGGCCTATTGCTTTTCAGTTATATTTGATAAATTCTTAACCAGTTTTGTAATCAGATGTTAGTGAGTTGTAAATGTTTTCATCACTGACTGCCCGGACGATTTGGCTGGCAATCTATCAAAGTCAGTCGATGCTCAAATGTTTTTCCCCTGCCTTTCGAAGAGAGCAGGGGACTATTAAAATGGGTTCGTCTGTCTGTCCGTCCGTCTGTTTGTCGTCACACTTTTTGGGACACAATAACTCTCCTTCTAATTGAGCTAGAGACACAATAACTCTCCTTCTAATTGAGCTAGAATGTTCATACTTGGTGTAGGTGTTTATTAGGTCAATGCCTTGATGGAGTTCAAAGATGAGCATTTTCTGCTTAGGGTAAGCACAGATAAGCAATTTGATTGGTTGATGCTTTGGGACACGATAACTTTAGTTTTAATTAAGTGAAAGTGATGAAACTTGCTGTATAGTTTCATTACATCAATACCTTGACTAAGTTCGATAATGAGCATTTTCTGCTCAGGGTAAGCAGAGCAATAAGCAATTTGATTGGTCCAGACTTTGGAACACAATAACTGTCCTTCTAATTGAGGTAGAATGTTCAAACTTGGTGCCTTGATGGAGTGTGATGATAAACTTTGTCTGATTACGGTAAGCAGAGATAAGCAATCTGATTGATTGATGCTTTGGGACATGATAACTTTGGTTATGATTGGGGGATCACGTGGCTAAGTGGGTAAGACGCTGGCTCGCTAGCCTGGAGGTCGGGTGTTCGATCCCTGCATTGGCCGAGAAAGTCCATTCAGATTTTCCGGCGTGGTTTCCCCCTTGTCAGTGATGCAGGATGGAGGGCCTGACAAAGACAGCTGTCTAGTCGTTCAGATGGGACGAAAAACCGAGGTCCTGTGTACTCTTTGGCGTGCACGTAAAAGATCTCTTGGCAGTTGGAATTCGATATAAGAGTAGGCCGTAGCGCCGCTGCCCGGGCAAAATTTCCCTCATAGCACACTGTATGGCGTATGCCAGTCTTCATTAGCCCAGGTTAGGAGCAGAACAGTAAGACGTTAAACCCCATTTCATTTCATTTGGTTATAATTAAGTGAGAGTGATGAAACTCTGAGTATAGATTCATTATATCATTACCTTGACTGAGAATTTTCTGCTTAGGTTAAACTTGATGTTGATGTTCATTAGGTGAATGTTTTGACTGAGTTCAATGATTAACATTTCGAGCGAAAGCTAAGCAGAGCTAAGCAATTTCATTAGTCAGTGCTTTGGGACAAGATAACTTTGATTCTATCTGATAGAGAGTGCGATTAATTAATGTGTCATCTGTTTATTTGGGGATTTTGGAGGGGGACATCAGCCTCACTGTTAGCTTGTTTTCACTAAAATAGTCATTGGAAATCAGGGCTGCCGACAACCAGTATCGCAGCGCAATTTGCGATACATATTTTGTCCGTTGCTAATCAAAAATTAAAATCTAACGTTTTTGATTTGCAGTAACTGCGAATCATTAATATGCCTGTCATTTTGGATATTGACACAAGGATAATCCACTTTCAACTTTTTTAATACCGAATAAAATTTTATAAACAAAACTGAATTCTCCGTGTGACATTTTCTTCTCGAACTACCCAGACACAATTCATTATACTACATGTATATAATAAAGGGACATAACTCTATGAATAGCGACTATTAAACCGGAAATAGGGAATCAAGTAGTACCACTCACGTTGCGGGACATGTCAATTTCAAGTAATTATATCAGAAAACATTTTGAAAGAAATAAATCCAGTGTATGCCCGCGTATTGTAAATAAAATTTATAAAAATAAATACATCTTAACGTATTGTAACATGATAAATCAAAGAAAGAATTCCCGTAAAATATTATTGTTCATATCGCGTGTGTCTAGACTAGTTAATAATAATAAAGGTGCGCGCGATTGAACCAAAATAGTAATACACGATAAAAAGTTGACGAAATTGTTTTCTAAAGAAGATTTCTAACGTAACAAAGAAATAACAATTAAAATGAGTAGGGCTTCGGAAGTCACTGCCAAGATTTGGCTTCAGACATTCACATTCACAAACTGTCACAACTACATGTGGCAGTGCTAAAAAAAATCTAAGAATGAAATCTAATCATCATATTTGTTATGAATTAAAGTAATTTCTTGTTATTTAGGTGTTTTATGTTGAAACTGAAAAACTGCTAATCAATTTTTAAATTTGCTAATCAAATTTGGCGAAATTGGACTTTTTGATTAGCAGTGCTGCTAATCAACTGTGAAAAATTACCGACAGCCCTGTTGGAAATACATATAAGTACATGTATTGTCTATTGACACCCAAACATTTTTGGGTTTCCATAAATATTACTATATATCATGCTGTCTTGATTGGGCCCCATGGACACAGTAAAATATCTTGTGTATATTATTATTTTTCAGAAATTGATGGTTACAGTGGTAGTGGTAGTGGTGGTGGAAATGATATTATAGAAAGCAGTGGTTCAGGTGTTGGTAGTCTACCTGATGAAGGTGTTGATAGTATAGATATAGACAACCCACCTTATAATACAGACAATTCCCATAGACCTAACAGTAATAATAAGAACATCAACAAACCACGCCCAACTCAACACCCCAACAAACCTACGGCAACGGCATCAATCAATCATATGACACTATCCATGATGACAGTGGTCATCCTACTGGCTAAAGCTTTAATAACAATAATAATGTGAGCACAGACAATATTATTGTAGCAAGGACTAATCCTGTCAATGCGAATATATACTATTTTAAACCAAAGTTATGAGAGAGATTTATTTACTACTCAAGATTATTTTATGATACAGCCAAGTAAGAATTAATATTGTTAAATGTACAATGGTGGTGAAGGAGGAATATATCTACCAATTAAAAAAAAATGCTGGCAACAAAAACTATGTAAACTTAGATTCCATAATAACAAGAGCAATATTGACTGTATTTTCACTGTGCCTGAATCTAATGATAACTGGTGCTGTAGGCTGGACTATTTGGAGTAATACAATGTGTGTAGTGATAGATAGCACCAAGATGTACATATGTACATTTCTTCTACTGTACTTAACATTTTTGTGTATTCACAGACAATAAACTTGTGTTCCAAGCCAATGTACATCTAAATGTTTTGCCAAAAAGTGAAAATTATGGCATTATTTATATTGTGTGAATTATTTTAATGCTAAGAAATAGCAAAAAATCAAGAAGTTACTTCCCACCTCAGTCCACCCCTTTGGTTGGTTATTGTACATGTGCTATGGTAATGTATAATTTACTTTTTGAGTGACTGGGGTTGTATTTGTTAAGAAACTTGTGATTTTTTTTTCCTTTTTATTTAAAATGCTGAGGTTTTAATTATCCTTCATTTAGGCCACTGGGCTTGTGCTGTCACTTTTGTCCGTCCAGCATAAATAACTTACACTTTTGATATTGTCATGAGAAACTGTTCAATGAGTTCATCTGCAGTATTCTGGTTTCATGTATTTACATACATATATTAATTCAGGGGAGTTTCGGGCACAAAAGTAATCCTATTTTCAAAAAGAAACAAACGATTTGCCAAGAACCAAAGATATTTGTTAAAATATTTAATATGTATGTGAACGTTCAAATATGTTCTATGGAAAGACTTGGGAGAACAGGGTCCTAAAAGGGCTGTGTGGAAATAAATGGCTCCTCTCATAAGAGTTTTACGGTGATGGAACAATGTTTAAAGCATTGATGTTATTTCGCCGTTAAATGTCAGACATATCCTATGCTATTTTCCAAACATCCAACCAGGAATATGCCCAATCGGATATCAAGATATAGTGAATAATATTCAAAATTCCAAAATTAATTGACTGTACTGAGTGTATAATAGGCTGGATTGATTAGGTAATTAAGTGATCAATGTATTTATTGTGTTATACCGTTTATACATCTACTTTAAAGGCTTTTTATATTATTAAATATACTGTATATTAAAATTGAAAGACAGTAGTCTTTGGGGCTTTTGTTTCAAAAGCTGCATTTGAAACCTACAAGACCACAATATATAGTCCCTTCTAAAAAGTCTGAATAGATAATTTTCATCCAATTACTAGTCCATGGTTTTATCATTTTTAATTTTAAATACGAAGAACAATGAAAATATTAACAACTTACCTCAGGGGATGGGACAATGTGAGATGTAATTTACTAGGCAGTTTGACTAGTTACACCTTGTATAATTATCTATTTATATATTTTTCTTTACCTTAGATTACTTACAGTTTTGTGTGTATATATATTGTATGTAAGGTAAAGCAGTTCTGATTGTTTATTGTAGAGTTTTAATCTTGTTGCAATCATGTTTGATTGGTTATTTGATTGGTTATGATGGGCTGATCGAATATCTACCAAATCAATCAAATACACATTTTTATTATTATGACATGACTTAATAACTTTATATATACAAGATGGTCAGTAGTTTTTAACTTTTACTTTTCTCATATTTTGCATGTTAAATTTTAATGGAAAGAGACTTGTACTAGATTAAACTATTTAAGAAAGGAGAAACTAGTATATTTGTTTAATGTAGATCAAACAAATATTCAGCAAGTAGAATTTGTATTTTATATGTTTGTATTGTGTCTTCCGTTTTAAATATTGAAATATAAAAATGTTCAGAAACACATAGTGCGTGATTTATTTCTGTTTCATATATTTTGTGTATTCATATATTTTGTGTGTGTGTGTGTGTATATATATATATGTATGTGTGTGTGTGTGTATATATATATATAATTGAAATTAAAGATGGCAAAATAAAACTACATTTTTATGGTAACGTTTTCACCGCGATAGCATAATTTCAATTATATATTACCAACGAGCAGCTTTAATTAACTATTCTACTATATTTATATATATATATATATATATATTAGAATAGTTAATTAAAGCTGCTCTTTGGTAATATATAATTGAAATTAAAGAATGTTTAATAAATGCCTGAAGAGCCGCTATCGCGGTGAAAACGTTACCATAAAATGTAGTTTTATTTTGCCATCTTTAATTTCAATTATAAATATATATATATATATATATATATATATATATATATTATGTAAAGCATACCTACATAATGTAGCACACATGTATACCATACATGTACAAACTAAGCATTTTTCTTTTAAAAAAAACTAAATGTACATGTAACTTAAATATCTACTGCTGCTTCTGCTGCTAAATGTAATTGTAGTACAAATGTAATGACAGTAAGATGAAGAACAAAAGAAATACAAAAATTATGTCACTTTCAAAAGTTGCTGCTGTTGGCATTTAAGAAAATACTTCCTCTTTGATACATGTATGTGTAAAATATAAAAGTGTTGAGTTAATGAAACCACTAATCGAAGCAACACATAAGAAACCAATTGAACATTTGGGGGGGGGGGCAGAATCAGAGGTTTAGCTCCTTATAAAGCTGGAAGATTACAGAACGTACAGTCAAATTAATTGGTTTTATATGTAACTAAGCTTCTATACCTGGGTTACCTATTTTTCTGTTTATGATGTTTGTAATTTTGAGTAAAGAATGGACCTTAAAATGGAATATTAATTAGCCTGCTAGAAAATATGAACGAATGAGTTCTTTTACAGCAATGAGAAACAAATGCTGATTAGATAATCTCCTGTCATTGATGTTAGCGGATTACAGAGGTACATCTACTAGACAAAATAATCTTAACTGTATGATAGTTTCATTACTGGTGGCCTACTTGATAATTGAGAATCAATCCTATCTGTTTAGTGTGGATCAGCTTGAAAATATGTTTTAGAATATTAAATATAATTGAATTCCATTTACTGTTTAAATACAGGGGATCGGCAAAGTATTATTATCTTCTCTGTTCTGTAGTCAATCAGTCTTGATTTTGTACTAGTCAGTCCAATTAGAATCTGTCTTATTCACAATAATAAAACTAATATAATTTAAGGGCGCATCCTTTCATTGGAAGAGCCTTAAATTCTTGAACTCTTCACTAATGAAAAAGCTGCCTCCTTAAAATATTACTGTTTTAAGATTTTGTTCTGATCTTTGATCCAATTGAATCCAAGCTAGGAGATTGTCTACCTGTACATGTAATATTTTGATTCTTCTTTTTTTTTAAATATTAAATAATGAAGTTGAGTACATTTAGTCTTGATTAAAATTTGAAATTTTAGATATTGATAATGCTGAAATGTACTTTGATCGATTATTTATCAAACATTTAATTTAAGAAAATATAAAAAATCAACAGTAGATAATCTGGCTTGTCTTGGATTCAATTCAGTTAAAAAGATGCCCTTCAAAAGATTTTAACGAGGCTTATACATATAGGTGGTGCTGGCTTATCTATTTATAGATGAAATGACAATCGGAGACCTGAAAGACTGTCTGTAGTTGTGAAAATTGTTATAAGGTCATTTCTAGTAATATAAATATTATAGAATGAGAATTGCATGTTTCTTGGTGTATGTACATGTAATGTTTTTTCATAAGTACAAGAAATATCAACTTTATGACTTACTTACAGATGTAGATTGTTTGGGGGGGTTTATAAAAGTAATGAAATAACTAGATCCATTTTAAATATTTGGTGCTCTCCTCCCATTTATATACATATTACATTTATATTTGTAAATTTTATATTCTTATTGACCAGCAGTTTAACCACATAATTTTGTTGGTTTTTTAAAATTAGTTTATAAAAGAAGCAGAATTAGACTTTATGGTATAGTTTTAGAATGATAAAACTATTAACCTATATTGACTTCTGCAGGGTAAATGTATTCTTAATCTGGTCATTTTTTTCTTATTTTTGTTGTCCCCCGCCTTTCGAAGAAAGCAGGGGACTATTAAAATGGGTTCATCCTGTCTGTCTGTCCGTCACACTTTTTGGGACACAATAACTCTCCTCCTAATTGAGCTAGAATGTTCAAACTTGGTGTAGGTGTTTGTTAGGTCAATGCCTTGATGGAGTTCGGAGATGGGCATTTTCTGTTTAGGGTAAGCAGAGATAAGCCATTTGATTAGTTGATGCTTTGGGACATGATAACTTTAGATTTAATTAAGTGAGGCTGATGAAATTTGGTGTATAGTTTTATTACATCAATACCTTGACTAAGTTCGATAATGAGCATTTTCTGCTCAGGGTAAGCAGAGCGATAAGCAATTTGATTGATCGACACTTTGGAACACACTAACTCTCATTCTACTTTAGCTAGAATATTCACACTTGGCATAGATGTTTATTAGATGAATGCCATGATGGAGTTCGAAGATGAGAATTTTCTGCTTAGGGTAAGCAGAAATAAGCAATTTGATTGGTTGATGCTTTGAGACGCAATAACTTTAGTTCAAATTAATTGAGAGTGATGAAACTTAGTGTATAGTTTTACACAATAACTCTCCTTGTAATTGAGGTAGAATGTTCAAACTTGGCGTAGGCATTCATTAAGTGAATGCCTTGATGGAGTTTGGTGATAAACATTGTCTGCTTACGGTATGCAGAGATAAGCAATCTGATTGGTTGATTGGGGCACGATAACTTTGGTTATAGATAAGTTAGAGTGATGAAACTCTAAGTATAGATTCATCATATCATTACCTTGACTAAGTTCAATGATGATAATTTTCTGCTTAGGCTAAGGAGCGATAGGCAATTTGATTGGTCAAGACGTTGGAATATAACAACTCTGCTTTTAATTGAGGTAGAATGTTTAAACTTGATGTAGATGTTCATTAGGTGAATGTCTTGACTGAGGTCAATGATTAACATTTCAAGCTAAAACTAAGCAGAGCTTTGATTCTATCTGATAGAGAGTGATGAAACTTAGTGTATAGTTGATAATCGGTTTGATTGCTTGATACTTTTGAAAAAAATAAATGTGCGATTACTTAAAGGTGCTAAATCGCTAAATTTCGGGACCTAGAAATGGACACAAATGGGTCGCAACGCATATAATAATGTAATACGAATGTATATAAACTGATTTACATTCAATCTTTCTGATTTTACTATAATTTATAATCAGCTATGTTAGGTGAAATACGTCAAAAGTCTCAATCGAATGGCAATCTCTAGCGTCTGGTTATTCAGTCTACACCGATAGTATTTATTGCGCAAGCTCGTCAGATAAGAATATGGCGTCACAGTTTGACTATAACTTGTGGAATATGTCTAGCCTCGTTCTTTGAGTACCTTGTTACTAATGACGTGAGGCGCATTATGGTACACGATTCGTGTACCAATGGTAAAATGTTTATTTTGTCTTAAATATTGGATATTAGAAGCCCATCTTTTCCCTGTAAGATCACAACATCAATTTAAATTGACAAAAATTCGTGTTTTCAATGTCGAAGACTTTGGACAATATTGAGTTAGAGACTTTAATATGTGTCATCTATTTATTTTGTGATTTCGGCGGGGGACATCAGCCTCACTGTTGGCTTGTTATAACAATGACAATGGTATAAACATAAGTAGAGCAGAATGTGTAGTTTTATATTTGGCCACATATTTAGTGTTGAATATTCATTTGATGTGAAATACAACTGATTGATTTTAGTAAGTACAGCATCTTCATATAGTTTAACATTTTATATAAATGACAAATAATAAACTATTTTTCAAAAGTTCATTTACTGATTTATCCTTCTTGTAAGTGGGTGACAGAGTCACTAATGATAGACCTCGTTCAGGTCGTCCTAGAGCCACTACACAAGCCCAGGATCGATACATTCGTACACAGGTCCTGTGAAATCGAGGACAAACGGCCAATCAGCTTTCTGTAAACTTGTACCAAGTTACAGGAATTCGAGTTACACCCCAAACGATTAGAAATCGGCTACATGTTGCATGCACGACGACCGCGTGTTGTGCCTCCATTAACTCGCCAGCACATCGCAAACAGGCGTCAATGGTGCAGGCAGCGTAGAAATTGGGGTAATCGTCGATGGGCGCGTGTAATGTAATGAGTCCAGATTGGCGTGCTCGCGTTTGGAGGCGTGTAAATGAGCGTCATGCTAACGTCCGACAGCATGACAAATTCGGGCGTGGGTCTGTTGTGGTGTGGGGAGGAATCACCATGACTGGCAGAACGGACTTGCATATTGTTCATTACTAGAATTGGCCGTGGCACTGCAAGAGGAATGGGTCAGATCGACCCAAATCGTGATTGGACGGTTGATTAGGAGCATGCCAAAACGAATTGCTGAATGTGTCTGGGGATTGGTGGAGCAATTACTCATTATTAAGTCAAAAATCAAAAACGTCCATTTTCACTTTTGACAGTGTATCTCTTTGCGATAAGCCGCCCATATGAACTGTTCATGTGTAGGCAATTGACCTGTTATTAACATACACTGGTTACCTCTAATAAAAACAGCAGTGCATTTCTGCAGTTTTGTATTGTTTCTGAATGTCCCCTACTTTTTTTGAAGAGTATATAAAAGATTGTCATTTTTTTCCCCGCCAACTGGAATGTTTTATAAACCAAAAATGTGTGATAAAAAATTTAGTAAGATCAGATTTTATTTTTGGTGATTTAGTCTTTTCGCACACCGTATTGCACAATATATTCCAGTATTTACACCTCAAATATCATCCAAGGATTGCCAATTGCCTATAAATTTATGTGTTGCTTGTACAATAGGCCTATTGTTATTTTATTATTATTACAACATATTTATAGTGCGCCCTTTCATGTAACATGTTCAGGGGCACCTACAACGTGCCAATATAATCATAAATAAACAACAAGATTATGGAGTCATGACGAAAGGTTATGTAAACATATTTGGAGCTGTTTAAACCCAAATGATATTGTTACGCAGTTAGTTATTGGTTGTTAATCGGACTATTGACCAGTCATGATTTGGAACAGAAATTTGCTTTCATTACGGCAGTGTTGAGTGGGATTAGGTCTAATCAAATGAAACACTGCGAGGAGTATGCTACAATAGTGACCTTACGCGCATATACTATTTGTTTTTTGTCTTTTTGACTTGATAGACACTTGATAGACACATGTATATGATTGCTATGCTAGTATAAAATACACTATTTAGTTCTTATACGCCCACATTGAAATGTGGTCGTATATTGTCGTCACCCCCGCCCGTCCATCCGTCGGTCCCCTTGGACGCTCTAGAGGCTAAAGTTAATATCCGATTGACTTTAAATTTATACACAGTGTTTAAGGTCATGAAACAAAGATGAATCACTGGTGTTCTACATGCAGTTGCCCATTCCCTAAATTTCGTCGAGAACTTCCCTTTACAGCACAGCTAGTATGACATTATGGGATCATCAGAGTACTGAATTTGTATAAGGGTTGACCACCAAAATTTCAATTCACTGATATTCATAGCAGACTGGGGACAGAATATCATGACCGTGTTAGTGCAAAAACAAAACAACGCTTCTCAACTTGGTGTATTATTATGCCATAAAAGTCTCAAACCAGGCAGAAAATAGAAATTAAATACCTCTTCATCAATTCTAAACCTAAATGTCAATACAGATAGGCAATCACAATGGCAAAAAAGAAACGAGACAGACACCAAATCAGGCAGAACATAGATATTCAATACCTCTTCATCAATTCTACACGAAAATGTCAATACAGATAGGCAAACAATATGCCATAAAAGAAGGGAGAAAAATATATCTAAAAATAACCGGCACTACCGAGATATGCAAAATTAATAGTGTTCTGCATCCATCTAGCCACATCAGCCACCAAACGATAATTTACTTGTTTTGATTCAATGGCACCCGACGGAGAAATCTCGATTTTCGCCAGAGTACCAATCTTTTACTGTTTTTTTTCTCTCAAAATATCGGATATGTAACGATATTTAGCAAATAATTGCTAGTCTGAGTCCATTTTGTTAGGAGTAGTTACAAGTGTTATCAATCATATAGCGATTTTTTTCGACTTTTTTTTCAAAGATTGGGGCCCTTTTTGGACCGTTTATGCTATATTGACCCTTTTAGATTTGCATTCACATCCTAAACCACCGTTAGGAGCCTAAGTAACCGAAGTTTAAGAAACAAATTTATAGTAGTTTTCGTGATAAAAGCGTCTGAATAGGCTCTAAAAAGTAAAATTCTAGATTTTCAGCATCCAATGATCTATTGCCTTGTATCATTTGAATGTCATAAGAACGTCCATTATTGGGGCTATATCGGATCGTAGCTACCTGAATTATGGCTCCTGATTGTACAAAAAATTGCGTTTTTAGCTTTTGTGGACCCTATAGAGGTCATAATTTTTATCTGATTTAAAAAAACGTATTATTATATCACCGTTACACCCTAAGGACGGCTGAGTTCGAATTTCGTGAAAATCGGCCCAAAACTGAAAGACAAAATGGCCGCCCCTTGTTCTCAAATAGCATAAAAATATGGTATATCAAGGTTGTGGACCCTATAGAGGTCACAATTTTTATCCGATTTTGTTGAAACTTGTAATGTAAGTTTATAACCCAAAGATCGTGGTTCCTTTCGATATTCGCGCACATTGGACCGTAACTTTCTGAATTATGGCCCCTGATTGTACGAAAAATCGTGTTTTTAGCTTGTGGAACCTATAGAGGTCATAATTTTTATCCGATTTAAAAAAACGTATTATTATATCACCGTTACACCCTAAGGGCGGCTGAGTTCGAATCTCGTGAAAATCGGCCCAAAACTGACAGACAAAATGGCCGCCCTTTGTTCTCAAATAGCATAAAAATATGGTATATCAAGGTTGTGGACCCTATAGACGTCACAATTTTAATCCTATTTTGACAAAACTTGAAATGTAAGTTTATAACCCAAAGATCTCGGTTCCTTTCGATATTATTGGACCGTAACTTCCTGAATTATGGCCCCTGATTGTACGAAAAATCACTTTCTTTTTAGCTTGTTCTCTATCCATCTCTCGAAAATGTGGGCGTATCCTGCCTGGCAGCCGCTGGTTTTTACTTTTTACGTTTTTTTTTCAAAATATTGGATATTTTTTCGACTACTTCCGGTTTTTTGATCATTGTCGGGATAGTTTTAACAAGTTGTTTGGTTACCTAACCTTCTGTATAAGAAGTTTCAGAAAAATCCATTCAGCTGTTTTCCATGTAATAGAGCATGTTCCAAAATTTCACGATTTTTCGACTTTTTTCGATTTTCAGTCCCTTTTTTATCCTATTCCATCTTATTGGATGGTTTCATGCACAAGACTACCGAAAGGACTCTCGATCCAGAAAGTTTAAGAAAAATTCTTGGAGCAGTTTTCGAGATAAAGGCCTCCAAAAATGCTCCAAATCAGAAAATACTTGATTATCAGCGTGCCATAGTTTGCTGCCTGGTCATAGTATCCGTATGACTTGGGTATCATATGACAGTCTAATCATCGTGCTACCCAACGATACATTAATTTGTTTAATCCGTTGAAATTGGACGGAGAAATCCCGTTTTTCCCCAAAAGCACACATTTTTTTCAAATTATCGAGCATTATTTCGACTACTTCCGGTTTACGGACCGTTGTTGAAATTGCTTTATCCAGCGGTCTGACTATATTGGTTTATGTTCCAGGACTTTCAGAAATATCGATTTATCCTTTCCCAAAAATATAAGGGCTGGGAAATGGGCTGAAAATGGGCAGAAAAATAAAGGGCGATAACTCGGAATGAAAGAAATTTCTGGAATCGGATGGTCTTCACGTATCCAAAAATGTAGGTCAAATTTGAAAATTTTGAAAAATAACAAAACGCTAGAAGTCAGCGACGAAGTTTCGAAATTTTCAACTGCTATCGTCCGAGAAAAGACTCAGGGTTTCTGAAAATGTCATTTGTATGAAAATGGGTACAGAATTGACGAAGCTACGGCCGTTTTTTAATTTTTATGCACCGCACGAAATTCGGCCACTTCCGGTCTGCGCAGAAGTTTCAAAAATAGTTTATCAAGTAGCCACCACATGGTTTCCCGATAGAAAATTAGGTCCCATATCGGTATCTGTTACAGGCACTGAGAAATAGGCTCCGGCGAAAAAAAATAATAACTAGACCTGCAAGCAGCACTGAACCAGATTTCAGGAATCAGACAGGAAGTGTTTCATACAATAGCCCATTCATCGAGCTACCAAATGATACTTTAGATGTTTTGATCCGGTCAAATCCCGATTGTTGCAAGAGCACCGATTTTTTTACTGTCTTTTTTTTTTAAATTATCAAATATTTTTTTGACTACTTCCTGTTTACGGATCATTATCGGGATAGATTTAACAAGTGGTATGGGAACTTAACTTCCTGTACCAGAAGTTTCAGAAAGATGGAGGCAGACCACCATTAAATTTCATCATCTTGGTACCCACGAATTGTAGTTCGTCTATTTATAGCAATTCTCTCTCTCTCTCTTTTCTCCCCTTTTGCATGCCCATTTGTGTTGATTTTCTGGTCTAGAATGGACGGAGAGGGTTTGAATTAACATTTTCTGCCAGGTTTTGGTAAATATTCATGATTTTGAGGCGAAAGGATAAGAGGGTTATCAGGTTAGCTACGGCGATATGTGCGGCAACTAGTTACATGTTTTTAGTATGCTTCTTCAAGTTTGTGTATCTCAAAATTTTGGTGGTCAACCTCATACAAATTTTAGTGCAAAGACATGACCATTTGTTCCTCTGTCTGTAGTGAAAAGCATTCAGCCCAACGAAAATTTGGGGAAAAGTTGGAGGTGGGCAAAGAGGCCAGAATTAACATTGAAGTCAATGGGGAAATTAATGGTGGTCTGCCTCCAGATCTATTGGACAGTTTTACCTCCCTTATACCATTAGTAGCAGATTTACAGATATAACGATTTTTCGACTTTATACTATATTGAGGCGTTTAAATTTGGATTCACACCATAGACCACCGTCAGGACTCTAAGTAACATAAGTTTAAGAAAGAAAATAAGAGAGGTTTTCGAGATAAAAGCGTCTGAATAGGCTCCAAAAATTAAAATATTCTTAGTAGGCATTCCTTTTGGTAGCCCTTCTTGTAACTTGCTAACCTGTAGGTCCAATATTCAATCCCCATTTAGTCAAGAAATATTCAAATTTTCCAGCTTGGTTCTTCTCAAAGGTTTAAGGATGATGTGTGAGCAAATGATTAACGCTGTGGATGCGAGTCATTGATTGTAAATGACAAGGACTAGGGCCTGTCCTACCTTGTGGATTTTCTCCCACTGCAAAAGGTTCTGTCACACAGTGAAACTGCTATGGATTACACCCATGTTTTTAGTGTTCAGGGCGTTGGGTTGCCTGTCCACCTTGTAGTTTTTCTCCAGGTCCTCTGGTTTCCTCCCACTGCTAAAGACCTTGTAATTTTTTCCTGGTTTCCTCCCACTGCTACAGACCCAAACACACAAGTATATTATTGAAATAAAATTTAACCATAATGCCAAAGGACGTTAAACCACATTTCTTCATCAGCAAAGTCAGAATAAGAAATCGATTTTCACAATTTACTATTAAGCACCTGATATAACAAGGGTCTGTAATTGCATAAAGTCGCGTTGTCTCCGACACCCACAACCTCCAGCAATCTGTATGAGGGTTGACCACCAAAATTTCAATTAACAGAAATTCATAGCAGACTGGGATCAGAATATCATTGCAAACACAAAAACTCTTTACTCACATTTCTTCAGCCATAAAAAGTCTCAATCTCAATTGGACATCAAAACCAGGCAGAAAATAGAAATCAATACCTCGTCATCAATTCTACACCAAGATGATAATTCAGATAGGCAAGTAAAATGCCTGAAAAGGAGGGAGACAAAATATATCTCAAAATAACCAGCACTACCGAGATATTCAGAGAGAGAGAGACATGGGATTTAACGTCCACTTGACACAAACTAGATCATTTTGGGACTAACATATGGTTTAATTTTATTTCAATAATTCGCTTGCGCTTAGGGGTCTTTAGTAGTAGGAGGAAACCCGAGGACCCTGGAGAAAACCCACGAAGTTGGACCGAGATATGAAAGAATCGAAGGAAGCATTCGAATACGAAAGTCCATTCACTGGGCTATCGAAGGATACTTTAGCTCTTTTGATCTGGTAATATCCAACGGAGAAATCGCGCTTTTGACAAAAATCCTTTTTTTTCTCTTTTTTTTTTCAAAATATCTGATGTTTTATCGACTATTTCCGGTTTAAGCATCATTTTCGGGATAGTTTTAACACATGGCGTTGGCACCTAACTTCCTGTTCAAGAAGTTTCAGAAACATCAATTACCAGATATTTAACGATTTTTAGCCAATAATTGGTAGCCCGATTCCACCGTTCTTAGAGATAGTTACCTCCCTTATACTCCTATAGTAGAGTTAGAAATATAACGATTTTTCAACATTTTTTTCAAAGATTGGGGCCCTTTTTGGAACATTTATCCTATATTGAGGCTTTTAAATTTGAATTCACACCCTAGACCACCATTACTTAAGTAACACCAACAACTCCCAGCAATCTGTATTAGGGTTCACCACCAAAATTAATCAGGCAGAAAATAGAAATTCAATACCTTGTCATCAATTCTACACCAAAATGACAATTCAGATAGGCAAGCAAAATGGCTGAAAAGGAGGGAGACAAAATATATCTCAAAATAACCGGCACTACCGAGATATGGAGATAGAAATGGGGTTTAACGTCCACTCGACACAAACTAGGTAAAGGAAAAAAGAGAAGTTTTCAGGATGAAAGCATCTGAATAGCCCCCAAAAATGAAAATACTCGATTTTCAGCGTCCCATTATATATATATATATATTGCCTACCCAGCGAATTTTTACCATTTAGATTTCATACGATCGTCCATTGTTCGGGCTATCCAATGACACTTTAGTTGTTTTGAAATCTTACATAGTAATCACTTTTTTCGCAAGATCACCATTTTTTTTACTTTTTATGTTTTTTTTCTCAAAATATCGGATATTTTTTCGACTACTTCCGGTTTTTGGATCATTGTCGGGATAATTTTAACAAGTTGTTTGGTTACCTAACCTTCTGTACAAGACGTTTCAGAAAAATCCATTCAGCTGTTTTCCAAAGAAAGAAAAAAAGAAGAGCATTTTCAGTAATTTAAGGATTTTTCAACTTTTTTCCAAGATTGAGGTTCTTTTTGGACCACTTATATTATTTCAATGCTTTTATTTTTAAACTCACACCATAGTCCACCCATAGGACTCTGAGTAAAAAACGTTTAAGAAAAAACTTAGTTTTCGTTCTTGAGAAAATGGCGTCTCAAAATGGTCCAAAACGGAAAATACTAGATTTTTGGAGATTATAAATTTTGTCGTTTGAGGGTTTACAAGGTTCTACAAACTGAAAAAAGGGTCTCTGGAAGTAATCTACAGAAATTGTTGAAATTTGACAGGCTTTTTCATTTTACTAATTTAAATAATGCATATAAATTTCATACAGATCACATGATCACTTTTGTCATTCAAACGTTCACAATCGCCATAACTCTAGAAATTATTGACGGAAATTGCTCATATTGCTTAAATTCAATAGGCTTCTCCGTTTCACTAATCTAAATAATGCATATAAATTTCACAAAGATCGGATGATAACTTTTGGCGTTGTAGCGTTCACAAGGATCAATAAAGTGAAACAAGGACCATAACTCTAGACGTAATAAACGGAAATTGCTGAAATTCAATAGGCTTCTTTGTTTCACTAACCTAAATAATGCATATAAATTTCAGAAAGATCGGATGATAACTTTTGACGTTGGAGCGTTCACAAGGTTCAATAAAGTGAAACAAGGGCCATAACTCTAGACATAATAAACGGAAATTGCTGAAATTCAATAGGCTTCTTCGTTACACCATTTTAAATAATGCATGTAAATTTCACAAAGATCGAATGATAACTTTTGGCGTTGGAGCAATCACAAGGTTCAATAAAGTGAAACAAGGGCCATAACTCTAGACGTAAAAAACAGAAATTGTTGAAATTCAATAGACTTCTTCGTTTCAGTAATTTAAATAATGCATATAAATTTCAGAAAGATCGGATGATAACTTTTGGCATTAGAGCGTTCACAAGTTTCAACAAAGTGAAACAAGGACCATAACTCTAGACGTAATAAACGGAAATTGCTGAAATAGGCTTCTTTGTTTCACTAACCTAAATAATGCATATAAATTTCAGAAAGATCGGATGATAACTTTTGACATTGGAGCGTTCACAAGGTTCAATAAAGTGAAACAAGGGCCATAACTCTAGACATAATAAACGGAAATTGCTGAAATTCAATAGGCTTCTTCGTTACACCATTTTAAATAATGCATGTAAATTTCACAAAGATCGAATGATAACTTTTGGCGTTGAAGCAATCACAAGGTTCAATAAAGTGAAACAAGGGCCATAACTCTAGACGCAAAAAAACAGAAATTGTTGAAATTCAATAGACTTCTTCGTTTCAGTAATTTAAATAATGCATATAAATTTCAGAAAGATCGGATGATAACTTTTGGCGTTAGAGCGTTCACAAGTTTCAACAAAGTGAAACAAGGGCCATAACTCTAGACGTAATAAACGGAAATTGTTGAAATTAAATAGGCTTCTTCATCTCACTAATGTAAACAACATATATCAATTTTAAAACAATTGGATGATAACTTTTGGCATTGGAGCGTTCACAAGAAATTGTGGACGATGGACGGACCGACCGACAGACAGACGGACGGGGGCGACGGCAATATACGTCCACATTTCAATGTGGGCGTATAAAAATGTATTTATTTATTTATTTAGTTAATATATGTATTTATTTATTTATTTAGTTAATATGCATATATAATTATTTATTATATATTTGTACTTATTATATATCAAACTGTTTATAAATATTTATACTATAAAAATGTATTTATTTCTTTATTTACTATGTTGAAGTGTCACAAACTTGTTACAGACTATACTTTAAATCACCTTAAACCCCCTTTGTTGGTTAATCAGTCATGGCCTGGTGGACCTAGAGTCTAAACAATAGATGTGGGGAAAGTGAGGTGTCCTCCTCTAGAGAGACCACAAGCTAAAAGTGCGATTTTTTTTGTAAAATCAGGGGCCATAATTCAGGAAATTACGATCCAATAAGCGCGAATATCGAAAGAAACAAGATATTTGGATTATAAACATGCATTTCAAGTTTCATCAAAATCGGATCAAAATTGTGACCTCTAGAGTTTCCACAAGCTAAAAATGTGATTTTTCGTACAATCAGGGGCCACAATCCATGAAGTTATGGTCCGATACATGCCAATATCGATACATGCCTTCAAAACAAATATTTTTTTTCAAGTGGGTTAAATCTATTATTTGTTTAACATTATGATATTTGATTCCATTGGACATATAGATTGGATCAATATGATCATAGAGATGTAAAAAATTGCTTCTAGCAATTAGAAAGTCAGCTAACTTGGCGGTAAGTTAGTAACAAATTTTGTCAGGATCAAATTTTTGGCATATGTAACACATGGTAACAAATGTATATATGGAATTAATATTGCTGGATTTGGTTGATTCTGCGTCTATTTTATAACACGTGTGCAATGCTTATGTGGATATCTGTTTAACTGTTTCATTGGTACCGCATTTGACATGAGTTCAAGAGTAACGTGGCACCGGAAATGACATACGTTTAAGAGTAACGTGGCACCGGAAGTGACATAAGTTTAAGAGTAACGTGGCACCTGTGAAACCCGTCATTACTGCATTGCAGTTCTAGTTGTAATTATTTTCATTGCAAAAATCGAAAAGCAGAACATAAATTTAAAGTGGATCAGACAATGACTTTCCCTATAAAAGCATTCACAAATTTTTAAAAAGTGAGCAAGGCCATAATGTAACTCTCATAGGCGTACGGGCCGATTTTCCTTTAGGGGGGGGGGGGGGTCATTTTTTCCCGAAAAATGAACCTACATAACTTTACCAGATAGTCCCTATCACAAAATGATTAGTAAAATCTCGAAAAATAAGAGCAAGTAGTGCTTAGCCGAGCGAATTTTATGGAACTGCTGTATGAGGACTAGACACCCTGAACAAAAATCAGAATTGTGTGATTTTCTGCAACTCTGAACTCCGGTTGGGAATTGCATCACCCCACCCAATTGTCAGTAAAAGACCTGGATTTCGGGCACTTCATTTTGCAGGCTGGAATAATTTTCATATATGCTAACTCTAGAAGTAGTAAACAGAGCGGAAATCATTGAAAATCAATAGGATTGTCATGAACATAAATTCTTTGCAAGTCAATTGGGTGGTAACTTTAGTATGGAAGCCTATAACTACCATTCATAATTTCTACTTTTCGCCTCGAAAAGTAGAAGTTACAACAAAATGTGAGGCGACAACACGCTATACAAGCCAAAATCAACTCGAAAATCGGAAATTAAGAAATAACACACCGCGATAATAGCGTCCCTCGTTTTTTCCTTATTTTCGACTTGCATTTTGGCTTGTATACCGTATATGGTAATGCACAGACTTTTTCTATTTTTCTTGTCTTCTCTTACAAAGTTACAGCCAATTATTTTTTTGAATTGTCAGATATCCTCCAAAAGTCTCATATATCAACTTTTGGTCTTCGAAGGAATTATTAGTGAGCCGAAATTCGCCTGTGTATCTGTTATCACTCGTTACTTCAGTCAGTTACATAGAAGGATAACTCGTGTTTTCCTTTTGCGTTCGTCACTTCCCTTTCTTGAAGTCTTAATAACACTGCTATCGTAGCAATGATCTTTATGTTAAAAGTATATTTGGAACGTGTTTAACCAGTTCTATCATATATATGTGATAATGACTGGCACCAATATTGTCCTTTAGGAAATAATACAATGTGATAATAGCGCCCCTCATTTTTTCCTAATTTCTTATTTTCGACTTGTATTTTGGCTTGTGTACTGTCTTGGCGACTTTCGACTTAGTCATATTTTTGTATTTATTGATGTCAGTAAGAAGGCGACAACACGCATACCAACTCGAAAAGTAGAAATTAGGAAATTAACACACCACGCTATTAGCGACCTATCATTTTGGCTTGCTGTCGTACTGTCTACTTTCGTCTCGGAAGTTGTTGTAGTCTCAATTTTCCAGGTCGCATTTGAATACGTGCACTTTCATTTTTTTCCGTCAAAATGGATAATAATTTTTGTATAAAAAAATTGTTCATATTTTTTTTCCCGCCAAATGGAATATTTTATCTGCCAAAACTGTGTTTTCCTTTGCCGTTGGTCACTTCCCTTTCTTGAAGTCTTAATAACACAGCTATCACAGCAATGATCTCTGTGTTAAAATTATATCTGGAACATGTTTAACCAGTTCTATCGCATATGTGACAATGACTGGCACCAATATTGTCCTTTAATTTCCTAATGACTGGCACCAATATTGTCCTTTAATTTCCTATTTTTGAGTTCATTTTGGCTTGTATAGCGTGTTGTCGCCTCACATTTTGTCGTTACTTCTACTTTTCGAACTTTCGTGTTTTGAAGAGGCGAAAAGTAGAAATTATGAATGGTACCGGTAGTTATAGGCTTCGATACTTTAGCCTTTAGAACATTAATTGGGTGATAACTTTAGCCTTGAGAACATCTACACACAATGGTGGACAACAAATGAAAATACATGTATACGATTTTGATGTGGGCATATAAAAATCGAGCTCTCCCTAACAAGAGAGCATTGGTGAGCATTTACTAAACATTGTATTATTGTATAAGGCATAAGTCCCTTTTCAAAAAATTTCAAACTCAGAACTGATGACTGTTAGAGTGTTTACAAGTACATGTATTTGCCAAGAGAAGCAGTATGTGTAGCTCTGAAATAAGGTCCCCCCTTTAAACTTGCTGAACAATCCTAGCAAGTTTGAATAACATGTAGGACTGTACGAGCTTACTATGAATCAGGAACCAAGCAGGACATCATTGCAGCCATCTTGGACAGGTGGCGACATATCAAAAATCTTAGTCTGTCAATCAATGTGTAATTGTCCAAAGAACAGGAATGCCACATTTCAGTGTATTATAGGTTTCATTTCAAGAGTGTTGCCCCAAGAACAAGATTACTAAGTGTAATGTAACTGGTTCCTTAATTTTTGACCTATAGGCCTACAGTGTTTACAAGAATTGTGGACCGACAGACGTGTGATGACAACAAATATTCCCACATAAAATGTGGGCATATATGCTATTTCTGTGGACTGGGATTGACTACTGAGCCCATGCAATGGGAAACCAGTTACAAATGTATACAAATATAAACAATCAATCAATACTAAATATTACATAATAGATATTTATTTACTGATTTTGAGACTGCTCAAAATGAAAAATTAATTTACAAGTATATTTCACATATATGGCCTAGCTACCAAGGCTACACAACAAATAATTCTGGGCAGGGCTCTCGCTTCAGTCATATTGCCAGTCATAACAGACTAGAAATGAAATCACTTCTGTAATCAATTAACTACCAGTCAATCAATTTACATGTCATAAAATCAGGTATTCCTAATAATTTATCTGGATATAAAATGCAATAAATACAGTTACATTGGTAGTTTCCCCATTAAAAACTCTTAAAATTTGTTTTATACTTGAAGGAATTAACCTTTTACTGCTTGTTTTATATGAACTTGATATTACAAAGTTAGCACCTTTCTGGTAAGAGACCCTTGTTTTACATTTCAATAAATATCAGTTCACAATTCAATTATATATCAAACACAAAGTCCATCAGTGTTTATTACTGAATTTACTACTTTAAATATTTAAAAGATGGTGTTTACAGCATAAGTCAAAGAATACATAAAGAGAATCTTTTTTAAATATTCTGCGATACATCTTAAGGACTTGTAAGGATTCGCTCTTGATCCTTTGTATATTAGCTGCATCTTATAAGTAGCTTGTGTGTCAGTCAAAATGTGACGCTGACATATCCCAGCATACTGTCACTTGCATGTTGTATCTACAACATATCATATATCGTTCTCATCCGTTTGGGTCTTCCTACAAACAGTGAACAAATTCACCCAAATTGGCCAAATTATGCAGGTTGGTCGATAACGTCATGATTGTGCTGTGACGTCATCAACCGTGACGTCCTCGTATGAAACGTCAACGCCAGTTGACGGCACATATTCTAGATCGCATATATACAAAGTTTCATTCCACTAGGACAAACGAGCTCTTAGATTCGATTGAATGCAAATTGTCAAAATTGAGGCAATTTCACAAGATGTCCCTAAACTTTTGTTATAGATTGTACATGTAATATTATGTAACATGAAAGATACGCTGGTGTTATAAACCACATATTCTCATGTATGGAAGAAAAGTGAGAAAGTTTATATTTATGGTAAAATTTTATTTTGAAATTGAACAGAATACCAAATTTAAGCCTGTTTTCCACTAGGCGAATTTTTTCGAATACAGGCATGCGCAGTATAATTTCAGGCGGCGCCACACTTTTCGATGACTCTTTTCTCTGCGAAAAAGTGAGTTCGACCAGTTTCTACTTTCCAGCCTTGGAAAAAGGAGCAAGCCAATTAGAATTCCGTAAACTCTCACGTGGTAATACAACTCACGAGGCCAAGGCCACCCCATTCTCGTTTCTTCCCGCAAACAAAATGGCTGAACTGAACATTTTTCTCCTAAACCAAATGATGAAGAATGGAAATTTGAATCTTTCTAATCTGGCTAGCATAGAAACCCTTAATCAATCTTACCTTTAACAAGAGTAAATATCTCAGATTAAAAGCAGAAGCCATTGTGGAAGTTCAGGAAGGAAACCTTTCACGCCAATTCTACTATGAAACAAAGAATGATCGAAACAGTTGCTTGGGTAGTGGAAAATACAAGCGCGATTTCTCAAAATCTTTCGCGACGAAAAAATTCGCCTAGTGGAAAACAGGCTTTAATGGTACGGGTTTAAGGATTATTTATTCTTCAGTTTGAGAGTATATTAAAATCTCTGGTTTAGAAAGTAGATAGCTAAATTTTATATAGTTTATAATTTTTTGTTGAATAACATGGTATAACAAATGGTGATTTTGTAATCAGTAAATAAACAATAGATACAAATTAACACTGATGATTGGTCAATTTTTAGGCATAATTAGAAATGCTGATGTTCCACTTCTGGATATATTTTTATTATTTCAAAATATTTTGGATATATCCTGTCTAGTATAATTTGATTTTCTACACCATGACAGAGACACAAAATGTAAACATTGGCCAGTCATTAATGGGAAAAAAGAATATGGAAGACGGATGAGAGACAACAGGAATAAAAACCTTTAATTAACCCCTTGGATATGTGGCAAAAAAACCCTCAACAATAAAACGCAAATAATGATTAATAAACTCTATAGTTTGTTAACAAAATCATCAATTATATAAGCTGCCACTGGAGCCAGGCATCTATTTACACCCAACAACAGCTATAATCCTTATAACAGACTTCCGGTACATGGTTTAATTAATTTCATACACGGTTATTCCTCTGTTAAATAGCAAAAACCCAGGTGAGCGTAATTAATTATCATCAGTGTTTATCAATAAATTCACAATGGCAAAAGGGATATGGCCATATAATTAGTATTGGGCAATTGCATATATAATATACAATTAAATTTAGAAATGATCAGATGATAACCTTGACCTATATCAGGTGCTTGATCTGTAAATAGAATTAGATGGACAGACTGAAGCAACAACAAAAACATACACCCAGATATAAATGTGGATACATACAATTATAAATAAAGATAAATGAATAAAATACATAAGTTAAGGTATATTGTAAGTATAATATGTAAGTAAAATAAAATTTTCAATATCCATCATTATTAAAAGATATGTCATACTCCTTGTACTTTCTCTCCAAAATCTTGGCAGTAATTGCATGTTCAGCTCTTCCAAATCCCTGAAATGAGGAAATTAAAAGATAAATTATAATTTTCTTTAATTAAAACTCATTATGGCATATTACCTTTAGGTTAATTGCAGTAATCTTACCAGGAACAACAGAAAGCAGGATAGCAGCAATATTAATTATCAACGCGACTAAATTGTGCTATCAAGAAACATTTAAGGACATGCAAGCAAGTTTCACAACACACTATACTGTTTTAAGAAACAAGATTAAGCAATCATATGTCAAACATTTTACCTAATATATTTTGTTCATAGACAGAAGAATTTGTACTTTTAAATGAGTCCTGCCTTTTGTAGACAAATATATGGATATAGGATTATCTATTCTTTAAGAAGACACAAATTCACTCAGAAATAAACATAAACTTGATTCTGTGTATATGTACATCCAATTCAATTATTAAATTCCATTGCAACAGTTGAACAAATTCAAATTCCTCTTAGATTTCATAGATATACAGCATCATACCAGGATTCTTTAGAATCAGATTTTCAATATAGACTATGGTGGCCTATGGTCGCAATAGCGTTTTTGGGTTATTTTTTGTATTTTATTTAAAGTAATAAAGATAGGTTGCCAGGCAACGAAACATACGCCCACAGCAGCTAAGTCGTCCGAGCAGTCCACAAGAGTTAGATGCATATTTATGGTTTTATAGGTAATAGAAGCATTTACAAATCACTAAAAATTGGTGAATAGTGCCAGCCCATTAAGTACCCGGTAGTTATCAGATTTTAAAAGATAGGTTTGAGGCTGTTTATAATAATTCTTTTGATCAAAATGCTAATTCTTTCCATTTGTAATATTTAATATCAAAAAAAAATATGTCACTAGAACTGCGATGCAGTAATGACGGGTTCACCGGTGCCACGTTACCCTTGTGGTATCTGCATGATGGTATGGGTTCATTCTATTTGTTGATTGGAATCAAATATCATAATCTTAAAAACATTACAAATCAGACTCATCTGAATAAAATATCTGTTTTGAAGGCTAAAAATACAGTTTTTGCCAAAATGACATTACTTCCGGTAATACTGAAAATGTTAAATTAACACTATGAAATCATAAATGGCATAAGGCATCATATGGTGAAAATTTTATGAAAAACGAATAATAACTGACACTTTTATAGACCAAACACCTTGAAAAGTGACTTGTAGAAAATCGTCTATTTTTCTGCAACAGTATAAGTTAGAAACCACTTTGTGGTATCTGTGTGATCGTATGGGTTCATTCTATTTGTTGATTGGAACCAAATATCATAATTTTAAACATTTACTCTTCAAAAAAGTAGGGGATATTGAAATGCAAATACCTATGCAGGTTGAGATATGATAAATAGTCATGGCCATTTGACATGCTTTGAGAGTATGTTCATAGATGAAGAACTTATCGCCCCAACAGAACCACTGAGTTGCACATGCGACATGCAATTTCGCCATACACGTGGGAGGGATTCATTGTCAAATTTGACACTTCAAGGAAGAGTTGATGAAAACTGCCGCGTGCTGGTTGATCTATCCATGTTTGCTTTCCTATCCGTTCTTGCATAACATTTACTGTTTAGCATATCCTTGCTTTAGTATGTTATGTTTAATTTGATCGGGAGACTGGTTCGTCGAAGTCAACCGACAACACTTGGCCGTGGCACTGCAAGAGGAGTGGGTCAGATTGCCCCAAATCGTGATTGGACGGTTGATTAGGAGCATGCCACGACGAATTGCTGAATGTCTGAGGATTGGTGGAGCAATTACTCATTATTAAGAGAAAAATCAAAGATAGGATGCCAGGCAACGAAACCTACTCCCACAACAGCTAAATCGTCCGGACAGTCAACAAGAGTTGTTGCATATTTTTACTTTTTTCGGTAATGAAACATTTATAATACACTAAAATCTGATTAAGAGCAACAACTCATGAAGTATTTTATCAGAAAACCATTAGAATTTGTTTGTTTTTATAAAGTTCTGCCCAATGCTAACGTTTTGTATGCAAAACTTTTAATACCATGGATATAGCTGTTCAAGACATAAAAATTCATTGAAAATTCATTCGTCTCAAGATCTTAAAATCTGTGTATCAATCTGAAGTCAATTGGATGATAACTTTAGCCTTTAGAGCGTCACAAAGTGATCAAGGGCCATAAATTTGGCAGTAATTATCGGAAATCGTTGAAAATCAATAGGATTCTTTGTCTCGTGACCTTAAAAACTGTGTATAAATTTAAAGTCAATCGGATATTAACTTTGGCCTCTAGAGCGTCGGGGGGGGGGGGGGGGGATGGCTGAATGGTTAGCGTGCGCGCGCGCGCGCTGTATCATAAAGTCTGTCATTGAGTCGACTGGCGTGGTTTCGAATCCCCGGTTGTACATGACAAGGAGTAGGGTCGCCTGTCCAACCTCGTGGGTTTTCTCCAGGCCCTCCGGTTTCCTTCCACTGCTAAAGACCCCTACACGCAAGCGAATTATTGAAATAAAATTACACCATATGTTAGTCCCGTATAAATTTAAAGTTTAATCGGATATTAACTTAGGCCTCTAGAGCGTCCACAAGATTTTTCAAAGTGATCAAGGGCCATAACTTTGGCAGTAATAATCGGAAATCGCTGAAAATCAATAGGCTTCTTCGTCTCAAGACCTTAAACACGGTGTATAAATTTAAAGTCAATCGGATATTAACTTTGGCCTTTAGAGCGTCCACAAGATTTTTCAAAGTGATCAAGGGCCATAACTCTGGCAATAATTATCGGAAATCGCTGAAAATTAATAGGCGTCTTCGTCTCATGACCTTAAACACAGTGTATAAATTTTAGGTCAATCGGATATTAACTTTGGCCTCTAGAGCGTCCACAAGATTTTTCAAAGTGATCAAGGGCCATAACTCTGGCAATAATTATCGGAAATCGCTGAAAATCAATAGGCTTCTTTGTCTCAAGACCTCTAGAGCGTCCACAAGCAATTGTGTAAAAGTGATGCATGCAAAATTGCCTATTTCTCGGCAGCTGCTCATATTACAAATTAATTTTCGCATACATTCTCTTTGTATGGATTATTGCTACGAGTTTATGAAAGTTACAAAGAAATATTTTAAAATATGAAGACGCCGAATGGGTTGTAAATAGTTTAATTTTACACCTTTTTTTCACCTTTTAATCGAAATTTCTCGAAAATGAAATTGAAATTTAAAAATCTGAGCTCAAGAATCTGTGCGCCTTCAGAGGGCACACCCTTTTAGTTATATCAGATTTTGAAAAAATAATATTTGCTTTCAAAATTGTAGTTTTTGGTAAAATTACATCACTTCCGGTACCGACAGGAAACTATCGGTAACATAAAAGATAGGTTGCCAGGCAACGAAACATACGCCCACAGCGGCTAAATCGTACGAGCGGTTGACAATGGTTGTGGAATATTTATTCCTTTGTAGGTAATTGGGGGCCTTTACAGGACAGTTTTTCACCCTTGTTAATTAACACAGCGTATTTACAGTTTTAACGCGGTAATACCGAGTAATAGTCGGAAAATTAATTTTCTTTCGATACACGTACAAATAATAACCATGACTGAGAATTCTATGGTGGCTGTGCACAGATTCACCCTTTAGCAGTTCTCAGTGGTAATAAATACAGGTTATTGAATGGACTGAAGCTACATGTAAAATCACAAATACGTCGACCTCTCTTTTCAAAATTTGTAATTATTACTACTGACAATTAACAATAAGAGTCATATTGTCCACACGACTACAGCAAGGTAACAGTTTGTTGTTAAAGGGGCGTCTACGTTCTGTCAATCGGTTTCTTTTGATGTTACGTGTCAATTCTCATTATGGAACTTTGATTGACAGTATGCATCCACCAGACTCTTTGGTGCCGAAATGAAAAAGTCAGCAAGGTATGTATTATCGACTGATACGTGTCTATGGTATTCAGCAATCGTTCAAGCAGAAAATGAACCAAAAATGTTTTACAATCAACAATGCTGATTGTTTGTTAGCCATTTTCTAACATTTCTTCCAAGTTGAAACTATATGCTTCACGATTTTTGCACGAAGCTAAAATTATTGTCACAGGTAAATGCCAAAATTTCTAACAAAGACATTAATTCCAAAGAGCTATTTCTGCCTAGAAAGTATGGCACCACGAACTCAGTAAAATTTTATGATTGCCGTCGCCATTCAGTCTGAAGAACAGTTCCGTTCGACTTTTTAATTCCACTTTACTTGTTGTTCTGTAACCCCTAATCTAAAACAAAGTTAAACAAAGATAGGATGATAACTTTTGGGATTAGAGCGTTCACAAGGTTAATCAAAGTGAAACAAGGGCCAAACTCTAGAAGTAATAAACGGAAATGGGTGAAATTCAATAGGCGTCTTCGCTTCCCTAATTCAAATACATGTATTGCATATAAATTTCACAAAGATCGGATGTTAACTTTTGGCATTAGAGCATTCACAAGGTTCAACAAAGTGAAACAAGGGCTATAACTCTAGACGTTTTTAATGGAAATCATTGAAATTAAATAGGCTTCTTCGTTTCACTAATTTAAATAATGCATATCAATTTCAGAAAGATAGGATGATAACTTTTGGGGTTAGAGCGTTCACAAGGTTGAACAAAGTGAAACAAGGGCCATAACTCTAGAAGTAATAAACAGAAATTGCTGAAATTCAATAGGCCTCTTCATTTCCCTAATTTAAATATTTCATATAAATTTCACATAGATCGGATGATAACTTTGCTGAAATTCTATAGGCCTCTTCGTTTCCCTAATTTAAATATTTCATATAAATTTCACAAAGATCTGATATTAACTTTTGGCATTAGAGCGTTCACAAGGTTCAACAAAGTGAAACAACGTCCATAACTCTAGACATTAGAAAAGGAAATTATTGAAATTAAATAGGCTTCTTCGTTTCACTAATTTAAATAATGCATATAAATTTCAGAAAAATAGGATGATAACTTTTTGGGTTAGAGCGTTCAC